GGATGAGGGGATAGAGGAAGGAGACTGATGAGGAGCCATGGTTGAGAACATTCCAGACTGCTGAAGGGCATGGATCCTTACCTTGAAGATGTGTGCTTCTGAGGAGTAAAGGGTACAAATAAAAATAACTCCAGGACTGGAGAGATGGCTCAGAACATACCGCTTTTTCAAAGAACCTGAGTTCATTCCCATCACCATGTTGGGTAGATCACCACCACCTGTCTCTGTAGCTCCAGGGGATTGTCTGCCCTCTCCTGGCCTCCAAGGGCACATGCACTTGTGTACAATGACAAAATGAAATGATTATTTAAAAAAAAAAAATAGCCCCAAACACAGACACATCCTCACTTCAGAGCCTTACAATAATAAATCCAGAAGGCAGTGAACCATAATCCTTGGTCTGAAACTCAAGTATCACAACTGCTATGCCACCACCCAAGTGAGGGTAGACTCAGGTTTCCAGAAGAAAAAAACTAAGACAGACAGACAGACAGACAGACAGACACACACACACACACACACACACACACACACACACACACACACACACACACATACACACCATGCGCATGCGTGTGCGCTCCCAGAAAGAACTACTAAAGATCCTTGGAGAAGTCTGAGAATATACCACACGGGTAGAGAGCTCAAAGAGCAGGCAGGAGGACCTGGGTTCAACCCCGCCCCTCTCCTGCAGGGATGGGCATGGTTGGTACCACCTGCATCCTATACTCAGATCCTTCAGGAAAAAGGAGATAGAGGACCTGGGTTCAACCCCTGCCCCACTCCTGCACCACAGGGATGGGCATGGTTGGTGCCACCTGCATCCTATACTCAGATCCTTCAGGAAAAAGGAGATGGAACCTGGAAAGAGAACAAGACACCAGATGACAAGCAAGGTGCTTGGAGAACGTTATGTGCTACATGTATGCGATCACTGATTGCACGACACACCCGCAGTACGGGTGCTGCTCAGTGGTAGAGCCCTTACCCGGCATACACTGGGTTCAGTCCTTAGCGCCAACAACCAACAAGGGCTAGCAGCACAGTAGTGAAGTGACAGTACCCAAGTCACAAGTACCCAAGTCACAAGTACCCAAGTCACAATTCTAGGGCAAAAAGTTCACCGGATCACAATCTTAGTCCCCCTAACACACATTCCCTCTGTGCACACCTGGATATTTAAGGGAGTTAGCTCCCCCTGAAAGAAAACTGAGGCAGGGGAAATGGGAGGCCAGGGGACTGGGCCAGCAGTAGCTGACTGGGCCACTCCTGTGGCCCCGGTTTTTTCCCTCCTGCTTTTTGGGAGAAGGCCTGTTGCCAAAGAGAGGCATCTGAGAGACACCTGCTGGGCCTCTTGGCAACCCACACTGAAGGTGTAGGTGCTGGGGCAGGAGCATGGAGAACCCACCCCTTCTCAGAATGGCGCCCAGGGGTTCTCCACGGGAGGTTTCCAAGAGCAGCTGTAGCAGCTGCAGCAGCAGCAGGGAGCTTGTCAGAGGTTCAAGTATTCAGTCTGCTAGGAAACAAGGCTTCCAGGTAATGCTGATGAGTCACCAGCAAGCTGCCCACCTCAGAGGTAGAGCACACAGAGGCCATTCTAAGTTAGCAGGTACTTCAACAATACTGTTAGATGAAATGGACTGTGAGACTGGGGCATCCTGTGGAACTCGGAGAAGCTTTAGGGATGCTCAGTAAATGTCCCTGGCTCTCCACCTTCAAGACCAGCCAGAGCCCACTTCCTTGTGCCCTGGAATCCCTCAACATTCCAGTGAGTGGCTGTACCACCAGTCAAGGTTCTGGCTTGATGCTGGCAAGGAGCCAGCCTCAGAGAGCCCAGGGAGACATCAGACATGAGCAAGAAACCAAACTTTGCTGTCTGAAGTCTCCGGGACTTTATGTTACTGCAGCATCACCCAGCCCATCCAGTCTGACACTCAGCCAGTATTGAAGAGCAGAGCTTCCTCCCAATGCCTCAAACCCCCATGTAGGTGACAGTCTGCTCTGAAGAGACATAAAAGCAGCTCCACACAGACAGCGACACCAAGACTGTTTCAAGTAGAGGAAGAAAGACACTTGTGCCCTGTGATCTTTGGAAAATCTTTGATACTTGGCAATCAAGGGGGCACTCAGCTGTGTCTGCAAAGCAGGAGAAAGGACAGGGTGTGACCCAGGAAAGCAGGGGTGAGCAGCTCTGTGCAGTGCTCCAGACAAGGATGGCTGCTCAGGGCAGGCGAGATGGAACAAAGCGGGGAAACTGTTCCCCCTAGATCCGTACTGTGCTTTCTGCTCTCCTGCACACTCAGTCACTATGTCCTCTCTTCCGCATACACAGGAGGCTCAGAGAGGCCAAGGGACTTGATCAGGATTGCACAGCAAACAAGTGGCAGAATCCACCAGAGCTTTCTCTCCCGGGGCCACCATCCTTCTGCCTGTGAGAATCAAGGCTCGAGGGAGGTTTGCTGAGGAAGAGTGACACTCCCTTTCCCGCCCAGGGCGCATGTCAGGTCTGGGTGCAGTCCTCTACCACACCACTGCTGGGTCTCCCTCTCACAGCCTCCCCCAGCCTGGAGGCTGCCCTCCCTCTTAGACAGGACGGAGCCTGTTCAGGGCGGCCACCACCCCAATCCTCCGTCCCCATGAGCAGGAAGACAGGGCTGCGGGCAGAGCCGTGAGCTTCACCGTGTCCCTTCAACATTCGTGTCTTGACCCTCAGTCCCTCAGACATGACCTTATGAGGAGACAGGGTCTTATAGAGGTAATGAGGTCATTTAGGGAAGGTCATACTAACCAAGTATGACTTAGGCTCTTATAGAAAGAGGCAACCTGGACACGGGTGGATGGACACACACACACACAGAGAGAGAGAGAGAGAGAGAGAGAGAGAGAGAGAGAGAGAGAGAGAGAGAGAGAGAGAGAGAGAGAGAGAGAGAGAGAGAGAGAAGGAAAGTTTTGGTTGGCTCTCACTCCTTCTGGTGAGTTCACTTCCCCTGTTTCGGCTGCTGCCGACTCCTTTCTCCTTTACTGACAGAACCAGCTTCCGAGCGCTTCCAACGTGGACTAGAGCAGCAGCTCTCCAGGAATCCTCCAGGCCTTCAGCACTGATTGGGACTGCTGAGACAAGCAGCCTCGTGGATGGAGCAACTACCGGGTTCTCAATCTCTCTGGTGTGAGATGGCCATCGTCAGACTCCTCGGGCAACCCCATCTAGAGAACCCTGACTATGTGCACAGTGTGGGTTCCCAGAGAAATGCTTATGAACCCCTTGAGCAATTAAAGTCAAAGCCATGACTGAAAAAACAAAATAGGAAGAGCCCAGGCCACAGAGAAGGGGACCAACGTTTGCAAAGGCCCCCTCTGTGTCTAGTGATGCAGCTGATGCTGGCCCCATTTTACAGGTTTGAAGACTGAAGTTAAGAGAAGTAAAATCTCACATGGGTTCGTGAAGCAGGGAGAGGTCTGTCTAACCTGCTTGAGAGCACAGTCCCTGGAGCCAGACAGCCTCGACTCAAGCCCAAGTCCTGCTACTTCTTGGCTGTATGATCTCGACCAAATTACTTATGTCCTCTGTGACTCAGTTTCCCTATCTGCAAGATGAAAGAAACAGTGGCACCTGTCCCCGCAGGGCTGTGGTTTGACAACGAATGAGACACGGTTAGAAAAGTGCCCAGCACATCTGGGCTGCTGGACTCCATGGCAACAAAGGAAGAAGCCAGAAATGGCAGAGCAAGATTCAAACCCAGGCCCGCTCGGCAGCATTGTGGACCTATCGCCCTGTTCAGGCTTGCTGATCCCTAGTGTGACCTGGCTGGCTCTCCTCTGTGTGGTCAGAGCAGCTGTCTTCAGTGTTAATCTCACTTCTACCAGCATTCCCCAGGGAACCCCCCCATCCAAGACGAGGTGCCGGCCCAGGCCTCATCCTTGCTTGGTACTCAGCCCTGTAACTAGAAAAACCTCAGGGATCTGGTCAGTGTGCCTTTCTTTGTATTTTTCCTGAAGTACCATCGCTGTTGAGCTGACATGGAGCATCTTTCACTCATCCCGGAAGGTGATTAGAAATGAGTTTCTCTAACATGAGAGGTGATGTAAGCCCAGGAGGAGAACCATCATGTCATCCCCAACTCCAGCGAACTCACTGTCCGAGTTCTTTCTGGCACAGAATACTAGCAAGGTTCATCACTCTCTGAATAGAGGGCAGGAACTTTATGAGTGGGCTCCCTACTAGTCATTTTAAGGGGACTTCCCAGCTTTCATGACACCCTGCAGTTGGGGGATCATCCAAACATCCTCCTGGAGGTCCTTCATGTTTCATCCCACTGGTCAGATGTGACTCTGAGAGATCCCCATAAGTCATCAGCCTAGAAAGCTGAAAAAGCTTGCCCAGAGTCACATGGCCAGTGAGCTGGGCCAGAGCCCTCACTCCTGGGTGTCCCCTACCTATGGCCATCAGCTACTTGACCCTTGTTTTCTGCTGAACACCTGTTCTCTGAGCAGCTATAACTGAACAAGGAAAAAGCAAAGCTCATTCTTCATGAATCCCCCTTTGGTAGGCACTCCTCAAGTTCTGACTTACCCAGGCCACCCACCTCATAGGGACTGTGATCCAGCCATCCAGACATATGGTCCCCCTGCCTTCCTCCTCTTCTGCTTCTATCCGCCCAAGCTTCCACCTTATCACCCATCATCTCCATCCCTCCAGCAAAGTTCTTTCAAGCATCGAGACGGGTTAGCCCTGCGCCAGGCACTTGGAATCCCCTCCTCTTGCTCCTTCACAGGGTCCGTTCCAGAAGGATCCACTTCTCCTCTACCTCCATCAGGACCTAGAACTGTCTGCCTCTGCCTGCCCTGGTTAACAGTGGAGGTTGGTTGAGCTGAGGCCACACCCCACTAATTTTTTGCACCAAGCCCAGAGTCTCCTCTAAGCATGGGTACCATGCATGGAATTACAAAGCCCTAGGGTGGGCTGAGGTTCCCTCCCACCTCCACACAGACCCCTTACTTACGAATGCAGAAGTCTCCGTTCTCATAGTAGCCAGGGCAGCATTGGGACCTCCGCCGGTACATGGTCCGGAGGCCACGCCTATACGCCGTCTTATAGCTGATCCTAGGCACGAGGGAAAGAGCCACTTGAAAGGATTGAAAATCAATCTATCCCGTTTAGAATGATATTTGTGTTAAGCTCTATCGAGGATGCCATTCAATAATTACTTTAAAATGCACGGCGGCTTCAAATATGAAAGAACGCAATAAAGAAAAATCGATGGTGGGATGTGGGCTGCTGTGGTGCAGAATGTATTACCCACATGGTGCTGGAGGAACCTGCTGACTTCCCAATCTCTTCCAGATACAAGGGCTGCCAAGAAAACTGCTGGGGTGACATTGTGGAGGGCCACGGGGCTGGGGCTTCCCCTAGCATCCTTAAAAAAAAAAAAAAAAAAAAAAAAAACTGGGCTCTGGACTCAGGGAAACCCTAGGGACCTGGACAGGCATGGAGTCCTGAGAGCTTCCATCTGCCATCCTATGCCAAGATGTTGGCCTGATCCCTTTAGCGAGTAGGAGAGGCTGCAAGAGGACTCCCTGGGTCTGGTTGTGGCATCCCACGTGAACTTCCTCAGGCCTCCTACAGAGGGCGTGCTGTTCCCCAGGAAGCTCTAACCCCGCCCCCAGGCTGCTCAGAGAGACACTGAGAGCCGGAGAGGGTTCTATCCTTACAGAGACACAATATTTTGAGACTTGGTTCTGGGCCAGAGATTTATAGGCAAGATTCTCCCAGCAGCCTCCTGGGTCAGGGACCATCGTCATGCCCCATCATCATGCCCCATTAATTCCATTTCTTTCATTTGTCTTTTAGAGCTTTCATTCTTATTTTATGTTTCCCCCCCACCCACCACCCATTGTTTTATGGATGAGAAATTGATACTCAGAGAGGTTAATGACTTGCTTGCGGTCACACAGCTAATAAATGTCAGGGTCAGACAAGAAAGGGAAACGAGAGGTGTGGGGGGGGGGGACTGTGATCAAGGTATATTATACTCCTATATGAAAATGTCATAATAAGACCTGTTATTTTATACAATTCGTATAGGCTAATTAAAAAAAATACATTGTCCTGAGGACAAGAGCACCAGAAGCAGGATTCAAACCCAGTTCAACCTGCAAAACCACCCGGCCCCGTCTAATGCTGGTACCAGTTCTCTCTGGTGGCTTTCTGGTCTTTGAGAGCATTTCTGAGGGAGTAAGGCAGGAGGGGCTGTGTACAGACTGAGTCCTCAGGAGGGTGTACAACAGGGCGTTGCTAAGGGCAGCCCTCTGTCACACTCAGTGCAGCAGATTTGAAATGGCCATTAAAGACCGGGAGAGGGAATACCCAGGGCCTTGAACACAGGGCTCTTTCCACGTCCCCGCCACACCCAGGGGACTGCCCTTGTTTCCTCCTCTGTGAAGAATGGCGGCCCCGAAGTGCCTTCAGCCTGCTTTACACAGAGGCCTGGGCCAGGCTGGAAGGCTATTCCTTCAGCGGCAGCCTGGACAACCCTCCCAAATCTTTAAAATTCTCACCTCATAACAGACGACAATGAGAGCCTCGTGGGAAATCTGTGATATTTGGGAATGTATTAAGCTAAGGTCATTCTACTTTGTCAAAAGCCCGTAATGGGTAAGCTGGCCTTGCAGAAAACTACATCTCCTCTCCCCACACCCCCACCACACACACACACACACAGGAAGGCAGTCCCTGGCCTGACCTAGAAGGGGTGTGTGTGTGTGTGTGCGTGCGTGCGTGCGTGCGTGCGTGCGTGCGTGCGTGCGTGTGTGTGTGTGTGTGTGTGTGTGTGTGATAAAGAATGATCTCCATTCTGAGTTGACACAGAAGTCACTGGACCATTCTCCCTGCCACATGAGATGAGTCCCAAGCCTCCCATTGGGGAGTTAAACCCTGCACCACCGACACCTCACAGGAGAGAGGCCACTGCTGCTCCGGGCTCCCCTAGCCTTGCATGCTCCCAGTGTAGGAATCAGGAGAGGTGGGGCCCGGGGCCAGGCTGCTCTGGGGAAGATGTTGGACCAGGCTACTACCCCCTGCAGACTGATGGTGCCGCTGTCAGCATGCACACTCTGGGTCATCAGGAAAGCTCCACGGAGACTCAATAATTTAGCAAAATCATTCACGTTCCAGGAACAGAGCCTATTTTAATAAGCAGCCGCTCATTCACCCAGCCCCGGGGTAATGGAAGGCTGTGTAGCCTCCTGAGACAATGGAGCCACACTTCGGAACAAACTCGGTGTTGCCTCAAGAATACCAGGGTTCAGGGCAAGACCAGTGCCAACTGCCACCTCTGCCTCTGGCTAGGGCCACAGGCAGGCAACTCTGACTAAACTCAGAGAGGTCGGAAGGGAACACCAAGCAGCCAGTCCAGGGTGTGTTACTAAGTGGGGACTACTGTATACAACAGGGGCTCTGTCCTAGGATCGATGGGGTACAGACCAGAAAGGCCTCAGAGTTGTGCCCTCTCCTCTTGATGAGGAAGTTGGGATGCTCATCCACTAACTTTTCATGTTGGGTTCCCTGCCCACAGGTTATGAAGTCCATCACTTCTAGCCAGAAAGAAAGTCCCTAACAGTGCCTCAGACCACCAGCTTTGGAGAGTTCCAGGAATGCAGTATGGACAGTGCACACCCACCCACCTCATGGTCTCTCAATAACAAACTAGAGAGTCGGACATCTCCGCCCCATGCTGTCCTCTGGGGAGTGCTTACCGGTGCCGGGTGCACTTGAACCAGTTCAGGATATCTGCGCATCGTGTGTAGTAGATTTGATCGAAGGGGTGTGCATAAGACTCCTGCACAGTCACGGCATAGCTGAGGGCCAGACAAGAGATGGAAGCCGTGGTCAGCAAAGGCCAAGCCCATGCCAGGACACACCTCCCTGCTCAGACTTGCCCAGCCCACAGTCCCAGGACCAGGAGCCAGCTCTGATCTCCCCTCCCAGCTCCCGGACTCCTGCCCTGGATCTCAGCTGTGACCCTAGGCCACATCTGTGCCGGTTAGTGTTCTCAACTTGACAGAATCTATACATTAGCTAGAGGATGTGCCGCTGAGCACACACGCAGGGCACACAGATCAAGTTAATTGAGGGGAGAAGTGCGGTCCACTGTGGGTGGAACCATTCCCTGGGCTGGGATCCTGAACTAACTGCATAGAAAGGAAAGAGTGAGCTGAGCAGCAGCATGTGGTCATTGCCCTCTGCTTCCTGACTACGGATGGCATGTGATCGACTTCTGCTGTGACTTCACCACCATGGTGGATGTGAGCCACCATAAACCTTTGCTCCCATAGCTGCTTTTGTCTGGATATTTCATTACTACAATAAGAGAAAAAAACTAGACCATACTAACTTTTGACCCAAGTCATTTTCTTAAATTCTACTTCACTTATCAGATAGTAAGCAGAGGAAGGTTTAGGTTTATTCTGTATAGTTTGGAAAGGCAGATTCAACAAGTCAAAAATATTTTATATTATCCAGGTATGTTGGTATGTGCCTTATAGCCTCAGGCATAGAGGTTAGGGGATTTATTGAGCCCAGGAGCTCAAGGGCATCCCGGATGACACACAAGATCCTCTCTCTAAATAATAATGATGATATGTTTGTTTGGATCCTTATGGTCTTTAACGAGTGTGTATGGGAGATGTTCTCTAATCTGAATAAGTGGCCCATTACATACATGAAGAAACTGAGGCTGGGAGAGGCAGCTTGCCCAGCTGTCCCAGTATCAGCAGCCGCTAATATTGAGGGCCCTATAATAAGCCCTTTAATTCCATTCTTCCGTGTGTGTTTGTGCACAGGGGTACACGTGTATTCAGGTGTACTTGTGTGTGTGCATGTGTGTGGAAGCCTGAGGACAACCTTGGCTGTTGTCCCTCAGATGCCTGCCATCTTGCTCTATGAGACAAGGATTCTTACTGGCTGGGAACTTGCAGAATAGACTAGGGTGGCCACAGTGAGACCCGGGGATCCACTTGTCTCTGTCTCCCCAGCACTGGGACTCTAAGAACCTATCACCATGTCCAGCTTGTTTGTCTAATGTGGGTTCTGGGAGCTCCAACTTGGGTCCTCATGCTTTCTAGGCCAAGCTTGACCGAGAGACTCTGCCCAGTCACTCTTACAAAGCAGGTAGTAGAATGGGGAAACAGCATCACACAGTCTAAGCAGCTTCCCCTAGCTCTTCTAGCGACCTTCTAGTCTATTGCGTCTCTAGTGTAGCTGGGAATCCATAGAGCGTGTGTCTACAGACCTTCCAATGGAAGCAGTCCTTGTCATCCTGCCTATTAACTGTAACCTAGACCAGGAGGTGGAAGCCAGAGGAAACCTGTTCTGGGCGTCACCAAAGCAGACTTTTCCTTTGCCACCCTGGCGAGGTGACATGAAGTGGCACTACTGACGCCTGACTGCTGATGCGCGGCACACACCTCTTGGGCAGGCTGGAGAGCGTGTCAGGAATTAATTGTCATGTAGACTGGTATTCCATGTTTTCCCCAGAAGGCTCACTGACCTGGGCCAGATGGCCAGGCCCAGGCTGTAAAAGCCCATCTGTTTCGCCTGAGGTAACTGTTGCTTCATTTGCAAGAGGGCTGGGTGCAGTGGGGCCACAGTCTGCTCCCTGACGCCTTCAAGGCAAGAGGTCTGGAGTCCTGCAAGCAGGCCAGGAATGGTCAGCAGTGCTCAGACCCAGGCAAGAGGGGAGTTCTGACACTGAGGATGGAGAAGATGTCTCTGGATGTGGGTACCTGGGAGATGTGTCCCAGACATACAAGTACGTGCGGACATGGCTCACACCCCTGGTCACTATCAGGCCTTAGGAAACAGGCAGATCAGCATCCACCCCTGTTTCCCACAGGTCTTCTAAAATTCCACAGCATGGTGCTGCTGTTTGCAAGGCTGTCTCTTGGAAGGCAAATGAATGAGTCCGAGCCTGGGCCTGGAGGCCTGTGTGGAGCCTGTCACTCACTAGCATGTCCTTAAACATGTCATTGAACTCCCATAAGCCTCCATGTCCTCATTTGAAAATCTATGACAAATATGAGGAACTTCCTAGATTACTGTGAGAACTGAAGGACAGGGACAGGAGTGTACACCTCTCAGGGTGGATGGAAAAGAAAACACTCAACATGCTTACTGGATACATGGCAAGTGCTCAATACATGCTAGCCCTCATCAGTATGACAGGCAATGGTTTTCCTCCTGTGCTGGGCAGGGAATGATTCTTCCTCCTTACCATGTTGGGGGCCAAGGCACAAATCCTGTTACAAAATGGACACCCCACCTTTGTTGAGCACTTAGGGGTTCAGCTTGCCATTCCAGTGCGGACTGAGGCAAAGGAACCAGCCCCCAAGGTAGGGGCTGTTGACATCATGGGGTTGGACTTAGCCTTGTAGGATCCCCAGGGCTGAGCAAGTCCAGCAAGAGGGCCTTGTACCAGCGCCAAGTCTCCAACCTGCATTGTGTGTACTGCTTTCACGGCTGGGTAGTTTAACACTGCTCACTTGCCAACATGCTAATGAGGGGCTAATCCATCTTGTAGCACCAGGCTTTACCAACTTGGAGGGGGGCAGGGGCGTTACCCTGGTTTTTGTGGTAGAGGGACATAATTAACAAAGAGCCCTCCAGAGGTCCTAATCCAGCTGGGAAAGTACTCCCAGGAACTCTCTGAGGACCAGGGTGTGTTTCTGGAATGGGGCAGGGTAGATACATCTAAGCACAGTATCAGGAGAGCTTGGCTAGATCTGAGAAAGAGGAAGCACCCTGCTGGACACAGGTATCCTGGACGCCTCCTTCCCAGGGCTAGAGGGGGAAAACCTGGTTTCACTGCTGGGTGGCTCCCTGTTCTGTCATGCAGGCTGTGACCTGAGCCGAGAGCTGCGGCCGGCCGTCAGAGTCAGCTCATCCTTAACATTTTCACATCCCAGCCTTGTTCACGCTGGGCAGGCAAGACAAGCAGAGGTTCTTTCAAGTTTGGAGAGATTCGTTATGGGTCCTGTCATAAGGGATGGCTCTCTGTAAGAGCGAGAGCCCTAGACTGCGGCCTTGGAAGAAGACACAGATGGCCAGAGAGGCAGCAGGAACCCTGGAACCTGGGTGGATGATGGACAGGTTTACCTGGGAAAGGGGTCTCCACTCAGAGGCTAACGAGGAGTTCTATCTAGCAGTGAGGTTCCCTGAACACTGGGAAACAAAGGCTTAGATTCACCAACCAGGAAAAGGGAAAGTAAGAAAGACGGAACACTGAATCTGAGTCTCTGGACTGGGCTTCAACGCCTGCACTCAGGCATCCCTACTAGTCTACTGCGCACCCGAGGTGATAATGACCCCGTCCTGAGTCAGAGTTGCCAATACGAAGACGACTGCAAAGCACTTTCATGAAACTTGCTCCTTTGCCCCCCCCCCCCCCCCACGAGCCTGTGAGGTGAGGATGTTTATTTTCCTTTCTGGACAGAGCTGGCTGAGGGCTCACAGTCATCCAGAGACTCCCCCAAGGAGCATAGCTGGCAGGTAGAAAATCCAGACTGGGACACCCTGAAGTCTTCACAGACTTTTACATTCTTGCCAGGGCAGCACAGAAATACCCTTTGCTCTAGCCTTGATATCATCACAACTCTGCAGAGGACATGCAGTCGCCAGACACTACACCGGAGCAGGCATGGTCTCTCTACGCCATCCAGGCCTCTTGGCCTGCAAGTGTCTAGGCTACCCCAGTGTACGGTCTTGCCTCGATGAGATGTTCCTCTCTGCCCAGGGGCTGGCCATCCAACCTCACAGGCCCACCGTGTTCTCCCTCCTCCACCATCCATTTCCCCCACCGGGTCTCCATCTTAATTTTACTCATTTGATTTATTAGTGTATAAGTGGCAGAGTCATCCTGGTCAGCAAAGCCAATCAATTCCAGGGTTTAATTCGGTTTTTCCTGATTGGGTCTCTGGTCACTGTCTTTCTGCTCACCAAAATCAATACTCTAACCTTGTGCTTCAAAGTCAGACCATCTGCAGGGACCTAGCCTAGACTCTAGGACTCGCTGTGGCAGCCTACATGCGCCAGGCTCCTCTGCTGTGGCCACACCACCCTGTCTGAGCTAGCCTTCTGCCCTGATCCTGCCCATCACCCCACGGCAGGCCCTGACCACTGCTCTACTCTGCCATTGCTGCCAGTCCTAGGAGACTATGACAGACATCCCAGAGTCCCAGATAAGACATCAAGGACCACAATCCATCCCTCCTCACTCTTGCCGCCACTCTGGCTGTAGACAGGGATAGAACTCCTCAGGCCTCTACTCCTTCATCTGTAAACGGCTGTGTGATAGCTGATACTGATGGTCAACTTGACTGGGAGCCACCTAGAAGGTAAACCTCTGTCTGTGGGGGATTTCCAGACGGGGTTGACTGAGATTGGAAGAGTCTGCCTATAGGTGGGCGACTTCATTCCATGGGCCAGGGTCCTGGACTGAATAGAAAGGAGAAAGGGAGGTGAGTACACACGTTTATCTCTCCGCTTCCTAAGTGTGAGCCGCTGCCTCACACTCCGGCAGCTGCACTTTCCCTGCGTGATGCACTGGACCCTCAATCTGGGAGTCAGAATATCCCTGCCTTTCTCAAGTCCTACTTGTTAGAGATTTGTCATAGCAATGAGAACAATCTCTTCTACTACAGGGTGGGGACACAAAGGAGGAAGAGGTGGGACAGCTCAGTGGGATGTTGTCACCTGCTGTTAACATGACATCACCTTGTCGTTTCATGGTCCTGGGTTCCAGAAATCCACATTGCTTTACCCTGTCCTTCAGTTTGAGCTTCCCTGCCCTGTCTCACCTCCGTGTTGGGCATCAGGCCTTTCACAGCCACCCGCTGCCTCTCCTGACTCTGGTATTTCTCTGTAGTGCCACACCCAGAGTGAGCCCTCCAGGGAATGCCACCTTACCTCTCCCAGTGGCTACACACATTGGGGTCCTCAGGGTTCAGAGTGAGGGCAGCTTGCAGAAGGGAGCCAACAAGGAGGCCCACTGTGGACAGCGCCATCAGGCCCCTGTGTGGAGAACAGAGAAGAAAGCAACTTACTCAGACTATGTCACGGCATCTGTTGGGTACTAAGACTTGGTCCTCCCTCAAAACGGATGTACAGATACTAAACAGCCTGGGTTTCCCACAGCTGCCGCACAGTAATGAACACTGGATGTTTCACATCGTTGACTAACACGGCAGCAGTTCTGAGTAACTGAAGAGGGGGAGTCTGAGTCACAGGTCTGAGCTCTCCCCAGCAGGAGGCCCACACGCAATCCATTGGCTAAAGTTTTCTCAGCATTCAGAGCACCACCCCAGCCCCCAGCCTCCAAGTCTATCCTTGATACAGAAACTCAGATCTGGCCATTGTAGAGTCTTCCCTGTCCCTCCTCATCATCTCTGGCAAAGCTGGGTCATCCCATCACCTCTTACTCCTCCTATGCCAAGAAAGAGAAGTGAAGTAACTGTGTGGCCCAGGTGAAGCGAACTGAGACAGCACTTCCGAGCCTGCTGGGTGCCAGCCACCTGGAACACTGGGCCTCTGCTTCTCTTTCCTCCTACAGGACACCAGTCCCTTGGTGTCACCAAATCATCCCTCCCACTGGGAGATGAGGGGCTGAGACAGTCACACAACAGGGCTTTCAGGAAGCAGCGCGCCAGGTTATCAAGGCCCCTGAAGTACCATTGAACGGCGAGTATTTAGCACACAGTACCAACTACCTTGTTTCCTAAATGAGAGATCCCCAACACAGAGCTGCTTAAGGAGGGTGGAGAGTGCGCCATGCAGGGAGGCGGGGGGGGGGGGGGGGGGGGGGGGGGGGGCGCCTGAGTGGCCCTGTCCTTACTCTCCAAGACCTTATGACCCTACACTACAGCTTTAGAGAATGCCTTCTAGTCTGAGTGTCCCCACCTGATAGGCCACTGAACTTGGGGACACAGGGCAGCGAGGACACATCCAGTGGAGCTGGCCCCCATGAGTCCCAGTGTCCTTTGTGAGCTGACCCAACACCATGACGCGTGGAAGAGGTGCTACTGTGACTTATTTAAAGGTTTTAATGAATCCAGGGCAGCTTTTCTTTTCAACCACTGACACTAGAAGAAATACAATTTCCATTAAGCAGGGCTGAGGATGTTCTAGAAAACATTTTGACATTGGAAATCAGTCCCCAGATTTGAAATGGTTGGGTAGCTAGCCCACGGGCCCTAAGTTTTTAGATGAGGACCATTTATCCTCCTTGGAGGACAGACAAGAGAGGCATATATTTACACACATCTCCAGATGCAGTACTTCACGCAGCCCTTTTCTCCTAGAAGCTAAACTGCTCTGTTCCCACCTCAGTCATTTCTAGTTCAATTCTTTCTTAAGAAGCTCCCTCCACGACAAGCAAATCATCACAAATTCTGTGTGACCACGGGGTCTAAATTAATGACTAATGAGTTGTACTGTCTACATTCATTTTGGAAATCACCCAGCTAAGTGCAGATTTAGCCAGAGATCAAGGGCATTGGCAGATCCCTTGGAGGAGGGAGGGGTGACTCTGTGGCTCCTCTCTGAATGGGCAGGGTCCAGGAAGTACAGCCACTCTCCTAGGCCCACCCTCTTCCTTCCCCAGTTTAGCAGCCGAACTTAGCAACCACCACACACAAACAACCTGGAGTCCACACAGCATGTCTTGAGGGCTGCTGCCAGTGCCAGCCAGCCATCCTACCACTCCGTTCTCCACTAGGAGATTCAAGTAGATTCAGAACATGTCAGCTAATGCTGGGGAGAGTTGGAGAGTCAGGAGGAACATGAACCTCTCTTTCCATGGAGGTATCTCTGGGAGGAATGAGTGATACACACAGAACTCAGGAAGGTAGGCGGAGTCTTGAATGCCCACTGTGGAGTGTCTTGTCCCTGTTTCCTGCGTGGCCCTGATATATGCTTGGGCAGGTCCGTTATCTTCAGCATCCTCCTCCAAAGGACCTGAGATGGCATCTTCAAATTTAGTAGGCTTTGGATATCAGAGGAGTGGGCCACCAGACAAGAAGAGATGGGTCCTCTAGCTCCTGTGGAACCACCGTGAGTGGAAGGGTGGTTACTTGGATCATAGCCATCATGCGGAAGCTCTTAAGAAGTCTTCACTAAGCTGGGCATGGTGGCGCATGCCTTTAATCCCAGAGTCAGGTGGAATTAACTTGGGAGGCAGAGTGAAGTGGATCTCTGAGTTTAGGCCAGCCTGGTCTACAGAGCAAGTTTCTGGACTGCTGGGGCTACACAGACAAACCCTGTCTTGGAAAATGCAACAACAACAAAGTCTTCACTAAAGCTTTTCGTTCTGAGTCGGGTCTGAATGGCTCAGTTTAGCTGACTCTTACAGGCAGGGGTCAGTGGAGGCTGGAGCATGGCAGAGAAGGTGATGGTTGTCTGGATGAGCACAATGGAAGAGGAGGTGGATGGAGTGGGAAAGATGGTATATAGACGGACAGTCTGAGACCTAGAACATCAAGTCTTTATCCAGGGCCATGTCCAGTTCCTGTGGGAGTAGGGAGAGAAGGATGTCCAAAATTAGGGGGGAAATGATGATGCCTCTCAGACTCCCTAAGACTCAGATTCTTTTCCTGGAACCTGGCCAAGTCTGTATCCTGGGCTGTGGGCGTGGCTCAGTAGAGCAGCAGGTGTATAGTGTGCACGAGGCCCTGAGTTCCATTGCTAGCCCTAAAATCAATCACCAGTCAGTCAATCAACCAATCAGGAAGCTGCAGAGATCTCTTAGCGAGTAAGCATGCTTGGTGCATAGCATGAGGACCTAAGTTTGGATCCCAGCACTGGGTGTGACTGTAAGCACCGGTAACCCCCCTCCACGCTGTGAGGGGTGGAGACAGGAAGATCACCCAGGCTTGTTGGCTGCCAGTCTAGCTCTGGGTTCAGTGAGAGACCCTGAATCAAGGGAATAAGGTGGAGAGTCATAGAGCATGATGTCTGAGGTCCTCCTCTGGCCTCTGTGCACATATGAACAGGTGAACCTGTACAGACAGACAGGCAGACAGGCAGACAGGCAGTCTCTCTCTCTCTCTCTCTCTCTCTCTCTCTCTCTCTCTCTCTCTCTCCCTCCTTTCTATCAGGCGAAGGCTCCTGCTCCATCTCCCCCTCAGCCTGCTCTGTATCTTCAATTCTAGCCAGTCAAGCACCATCTACTACCCATCAGAGCTTGGCAGAGGTCAGGACCATTGACAACGTCCCTTTTGGCCCCCAGACAGTGACAGCAGAGGCCCCATGCTCAAGTGTGGTCACCCAGCCTACCCTGCCATCTTCCCAGCATGCTTCCTTTATCTTTCTGACATGTTATAAGCAATCAGTGGTGGGATAGAGAGCCCTACACCTCCATTTCGGGAACTGACTCTCAAACAACTGTATCGCCTTGTCTCTGACATGTCAGTTGAAAAGACAGAAAAGCAGCCAGAAAAAAAAAAACAACAACAAACCTGTCACTGTGAAGGCAACTCCTCCCCAGTCACTTCAGTGGGACTTCCTGGGGGGCTCTCGGAGAGCACACGAACCAAACACATACGCTTATTATGAGACGACAAAGGGAAAATCAATCCTGCCACCGTGGTTATGAGATGACTCCATTTGGAGTGACAGAGGTTAACGTATCAGGCACCATCGGGCATTAATAATTAAATAAGAAAATGCCCCAGGATCATTTCAGAGGGAGAGACATGTAAATAAGTCAGCTGGCTTCTTCCCCCTGTCCCTTCTGCCTGCATGCTAAGAGGCAGAGAGAGGAGCCGGGTTCCAGAGTTAGGGAGCTTCCTCCTGCTTCGGAGTGTGGGAGGCATTGTAGCTGATGAACGGAGGGGCAGAGAGGGAACCAGGGGGTGTGACTCACACCTGCCAGCAGGGTCAAATCAGTGCATGCCCCTGCCGTGACTTCAGTTAAAGGGGGCCCCTGTAGCACCTACCTATGCCTGAAAACCCAAAGAAACCTCATGAGATGGCCGAGGCCCACAGAACAAGATCAAGAGCAGCAAGGGAGGGACCTGGGGAAGCCCAGGTGGAGTAAACCAGATGTGGGATGGATAGAGCATGGAAGAGTGGAGGCAGATGCACACACTGGGGTGTGGAGGCCAGATGCGGCAGGTGGCGGTGGGGGAGCCAGGTGGGAGAAGCTTGTGCCGTGGCCAAATGGAAATGCTGGAGGGTGGTTTACAGCTTGTGTGGGATACTAGGTTACCGTGAGAACATGACAGAAACGTCTCAGGTAAAGGCTCTCAGGAGTGGATAATCTCAGCTGCCTCCTGAGCCTTTACCTGCAATAGCCATGGCGCATGGTATATCAGCACAAACCCCAGGCTCTGAAAAGACCTAAGGAGAGATCTCTCCAGTGGCACAGCCAGCTAGGTGAGCAGAGCTCCTCATGACCCCAGTGTGGGAGACTTTGCTTCTCTTGTTCAAGGTCAAGTCGACCAGGAGGCCTGAATCATCCAGTTTGTATCTTTGGCATTTGTATCGGTTTATTCTGACTCTTCAGGGCCTTCTAGGTTGCCACCAGGTAGCTTAAGAGACACTGACCTTGGGCAGGGGGTGTGGCTCAGTCTGTGGAGTGCCTCCTTATCAAGCACCAGGCTCAGTATCAAGCACCAGGCTCAGTATCAAGCACCAGGCTCAGTATCAAGCACCAGGCTCAATATCAAGCACCAGGCTCAGTATCAAGTACTAGACTCAGTATCAAGCACCAGGCTCAGTATCAAGCACCAGGCTCAGTATCAAGCACCAGAGTCAGTATCAAGTACTAGGCTCAGTATCAAGCACCAGAGTCAGTATCAAGTACTAGGCTCAGTATCAAGCACCAGAGTCAGTATCAAGTACTAGGCTCATTCCTAGCACTGCATAGACTGACCTTGGAGGTGCTAATCCCAGCATTCAGGAAGTAGAGGCAGAAGATCAGAAGTTCAAGGTCATCCTCAACAACATAGTGAGTTCAAGGTCAGCCAAAAATACATGAAGCTTTCAGAGAGAGACAGAGACAGAGACAGAAACAC